ATTCTTTTTCCCATTTCATTCATTCTGTCTGTGAGGTTTTCTCCTGTAATTTCAAATTGGCTCATTGTGTTTTTACTTCTCCTGTAATTTCAAATTGGCTCATTGTGTTTTTACTTCTCCTGTAATTTCAGATTGGCTCATTGTGTTTTTACTTCCTTCTTCATTTCAGCTTGAGCTTTCTTCAATGTTTCTATCTCTTTTGTGAATTCAATCAGAAGTTTATTCCTATCTTCTTTTAGTTCTTTGATTTGTTTGTGTGTTCTTTAAATTCATTGAATTCTTTGATCATGTTTATGTTTTTTTCTTTTAAATTCTGTGTTCTACATTATCTCTAGGGGGTTCTTCTTGTAGAATTTGTCTATAGGACTGGTGTTTGGTGGGAACATACTGTTTTTTGTTTGGTTTTTTTTTTTTGTCCATTGTGATTTTGACATGTGGATTTTTTTGTTGTTTTTGTTATTCTTGCATGAAACTCAAGCCTTCCTTAGTTGAGTTGAAGTCTTTTTCTGTTTGTATCATTGGTATGTCTTTATTGTTTTCTTATTGGGTATGTAAAGCTGGTTCTCTCAGATTTTATTTTGTAGGGAACTGATGGCTTCAGTCCAGGTACTCAGGAGTGCCCACAGAGACCCATATCAGGCTCCAGTCATTCACTTTCAAGCTTCCTCTTAATGTCTGGGCCCATACTAGTGGGCAGTTCCAATAAAGTTTAGGAAGCTTGATAAGGAGAGGTCCAATTTAAGTGCTGTCAGGCAGTCTGCAAAGGTCTAGTCTCCTACTACTAAGGGGCAGAGAAGTCTAGATTTGGAGAGGCGAGATGGACCACAGGTGGTCCCAATATAGTGGGATGGGGACTGAGTGATTTGGGGAAGCTCATTACCACATGGAGGCCAGATCCAGGCATTGTCAGGCAATCTGCTAAGGTCTGGTTTCCTACTCTAGGGCAGAGAAGTCTAGCCCTGGTGTAGTGGGTGCTGTTTTGTTTTTTAGACAGGCTTTTCTTATAGCCCCAGCTGGTCTGGTACTCACAGTGTAAATCAGCCTGGCCTTGATCTCACAGAGATCCACTTCCCTCTGCCCCTCAAGTCCTGGGATTAAAAACATGCATCACTACACCTAGCTTCTTATGGTTGTTTAAACAAAAGTTGCTTGAATGTTACCTCTTCACATTTTATTTACCCTAAGCCAAACCCAACAAAAAAATTCTACCCTAATGAACTTGCTGGAGCAATGTCTTCAGACTCCTCTGTGAACAGCATGACTAATGTTTCTGGCAGTAAGTGTTCCATGTTGTTACAGTCACATATCCCCTTCTGCTGCTTCCTTAGCTGCTGGCATTGATTGGACTTGCTTTCTTCTTAGTCTCCAAATCACACAGGCACACCAGCTCTGACTTCAAATTTCATATATACTGAAGCCTGTGTCATGTAGAACTGTCAAATTGCAGAATTAAATGCCCATGTTCCATCTTCTTGTACTCTGTAGCTGAAACGATTTGGCATCAGGGACAGCAAACAAATACAAACAGTGACCCTTAGGCAGCCTCATACTTCCCATGATCTGAGTGAAGAGCTAACTAGTAACCTTCCATCCCTACTTCTGGGAGGCTCTGGGAAATACCTGTTGATAAGGTGTAGACTGAGTGCCAGAGGTTTCCAGGGAAGTCATCCCCCCCCCTTCCAAATGAGGAAGGCTAGCTTGAATCTTCACGTTTCATAGTTTGTCCTATTATGCAGCATACTTACATCTGTCAAAACAGTGCCCTAACATTTGCAGGAAAAAGCTGGAATGATGAAGAAATGAGCAGCTTTCTATTAAAGCAAACTACAATTTTGCCTCTGTAGTGACTTTTACACTGTGCATTCTAAAATCTTTTTTTCAACGTGACTTTTGTTTTCAGATTTGCAAAGCACCACTCTGTGGCAGATGGATTTTCATTCTCAGTGGTGTGGAGAAAAATATGTTCTCATGACATTTAATAATTTGAAATTTGATGGTTTCATAGTGTATTTGTTTTAAACTTTATCCTGATAACTTCGGGTATAACAGGAAGTAACTAGGAGATGTTTAAGGGCCTGAGAGATGAGTGACAGAGCCTAGGACACTGCTGTCACCTCCTTCTTGCTTCTGTGACTTTTCCAACCTGGTAGAGCCCTTACTACCACTCATTGGCAGCTTATTAGCTTTTGGTCCTTGGACCATGGGTGCCACAGCCAAAAAATATTGGCTAAGGGAAGCAGGGTTTGTTTTGTTCAGCAGTAAGTTAAATGTGGGAAGTAAATCTGGAGCAATCAGTGTTAAAGTAATCTGCTCATCTGAGAGTATTTGCAAATTAGAGTCAGAACTAAGGGAAATCTAGACTCCTGTAAGCCTGTTGAGTGATGAATGTTTGTTATCATTGCTATTAAGTAGATTTCAACTGAAGACAAAAATCTCCAACTATTGGGTCATTTTGCTAACATGTAAGGCTGTACTTTTTCCCTCATTGCAGCTCATCCTTCCTTGGGCATTTTAATTGGTTGACATCAGTTTGCTCCAAAAGACAATTTAATTGAAATGTCAGTGGTGTTGCCTAGATAAAGATTGTACTGATGCTGGTGCATTACTGTGCAAATCAGCTGCAACTGTTGACTGGTGGGGAAATTACTCCTGCAACATGAGTTGCTGTTGCATGTTGGTAGCTTTTCACTGGTCAGCTCTTCCTCCAATTAAGTTCTTCTCCCTATAAGTCACTGTTTTGGGCTAGAGGGTGCAGAGGTAGTCAAGAGGTCTGGTCCTGGTGCCTTTGCAAAACGTTTGTGTAGACTGGAACAGTTGTATTCTATTTAAACATTAATGCTTAACTATAAAGTCAGCCTACATCCACAGATCTAATTACCAGTGGCTTTAAATCTGTTTTCCTTCAGTTTTTTACACTACATACTCAGTGTGTCAAGACCAGTGAAGTAAGATGTTTGGGGCCCTGTTTTAAAACTGAGGTTGGTGCTTGATACATGGCTCAGTGGTTAAGAGCACTGCGGCTCTTATAGAGCACTCAAGTTTAGATCCTGGCCCCCACTTTGGGCTGCTCACAGCTGCCTGTAACTCCAATTCCAGAGGGGATCTGATACCCTCTTCTGGCCTCTGCAGGCACATACTGACACATACACACATAAATAAAAAATAAAAATAAATCCTTAAAGAATTGAGTGTAAATTCTCTTACAACATAAAGGTTATAAAGGTACTTTTTATGTCATCTTCGTTTAATGAGATTTGATAGGGAATTTTGGATAGCTGTTTAACGTTTTCTGCATGATGAAAAATTGAAACTAATTCTCAGACTGCTGAGAATTTGTAAAATGTCTTCTCTTCCCTTCTTTCCCCATCCTCCCCCTTGTTCCCCTCCTCCTCCTCCCCCTCTTCCTGTCTTCTCTTCCCCTCTGCTCCCCTCCCTCTCCTCTTCCTCCTCCTCTTCCTCCTCCCTTCCATTCTACTCCTCCTTCTGCTCTTCCCCTTTCCCCGTCCCTCCCCCTCCTCCTCCCTCTCCTGCTCCTCCTTGCCCTCTTCTTCTCCCCCTTCTCCCCCTCCCCTCTTACCTCTTCCTTTTCCTTCTCCCTCCTTCTTCCTCTTCTTCCTCCTCCTCCATCCAGCCTGAGGGATTCATGGCCATTTTTTAGCAAAAACAACCACAGGCTGTTCACACTGGGAAGAATATTATATGAGTCCTCCTTATCCAAAATTCTCAGGGCCAGAAGTTTTTCACATTTTGGTATTTTTCAAATTTGGGAAAACTATCGTAGACTTTACCAACTGAACATCCTTAAGCCCAAAACCCAAAATCCAAAGTGCTCTCAAACATGAAAATTTTTGAGCATTATTGCTCAAAATGAAATAAAAGATTTAGTTTTCATTTTATTACTCAAGTCCTGCCTTGTTTTGTGATATTTTACTATTAGGTATAAAGGTGATTTGTAACCCAAAACCTGGGTTGGGACCATCTGTTTAGACCTTAAGGAGTCCTTCCAGTTTTCCCTGGTTCAACTGGACCAGTGTGAATGCTGATGTCCTACTAGCTTATAGCAGATCTATTGAAGAGAGCAAGCAAAATGAGAAAGCTGCATGTAGGCCTTCAGCTAATGAGCACGGATGCGGGGGGCCGGATGTGGAGGATAGATGAATAGGTAAATGGAGAACCCTGATAATGGCAAGTCCTGAATCCCATTCTTAGGAAATTGAAGCAAAAATGCAGGAACCCGTGTTCACAGAAACCTTCTAGCACCTATTTAGCTGTGTCTGTTGGCAGATTGAGAGGGAGTTGCTGGGCTTGTGGGAGAGCTGGGTCTTTACTGCCCAGCCCTGCACACATCAGTGTATTCAATGAGCTCAGATCCAGGCCTCCTGTCAGGTGTGGGTGATCTTTTTGGGTCATAAGCCTGGGCACAGCACCCCAGATGAGAGCTCTGCTTCAGGTAGCAGCTGTCCCTCCTGTTCTATAGGATCAGCCTGGGACCGTAGGGACAATACTAAGTGTACATGTTCAAATGCTAGGTATATATGAATATGATTTCCTTTTTATGATGCCAAACTATGAAGTCAAATATAAGAGTTTTTAGTGTGAATATTAGAAAACTATCATTTGGATTATGTAACAAGACAATTCTCAATTCAAGCAATCTGAAAACGGTCTTTCTCCCCTCGTACCTTATTTGGAGCCTGCAAGTCATGTTAAGATTCTATGACTCTATGGCTTCTGGCTTTGGCAGAGGATAGAGAAGAGAGTGTCATGCCTGAGTAGAGAGGGGTCACGACTGAGGAGTGGGCTGCTCATGAAAGGAGGACTGCTGTGTGTTATGTGTGGGTCAAGCCCAATCTGGCCTGGCTCTGGAGAAGTGGATTCCACATGCTGCAGGGATTCCACCATTCTCCTCACAGAACTGTCCTGGGTTGTGCTTTCAGGGTGTTGCTGAAATGTCTTCTCCCCCAGTCTTATAACTTCTCTCTTGACATCTGTTTAAACAGGGAGAGTCCAATGGTCAAAGGCAATGCACTCTTAGCCTTAAGCAGCCTTGCTGTCGTTGTGTCCAAGCATGAAGCCAGCCTCTCAGAAGTTGAGGGAGCTCCGGAGGTGAGTTAGATGGCCTCTGCATGTGACTTTGGCTGTGTCTCCTTAGGCCTGGTTCTAGGTGGCCAGTTCTGTGATTTTGTCACCAAAACCTGCTACTGGATAGCACTTAGATTACCCCTCTGTCTTCCTGACTCTTGTTTGATGCTTTTCTGTGTTACTTTCTGAACCCCAGTTAAGTGACCATTTCCATTTGAAAGTACCAATTTTCTGCAAGAAATTGTGATTACATCAGTTTTAACCAATCTGAGAAAGTTAACTAGGCTTACTGAAAGTGAACAGTGCTGTCAAAAATTATAAATAAGCTATTTATAGGCTGTCGAAAATTATAAATAAGCAGTTTATACACTGAAAAAATTTTACTTTGCATTTTAATTGTGGATGTCAATGAAAAAGTGCCTATTCATTTTTGCATGGCTTTTATTTCTTAATTAAACATGTCGCAAACTGGCTAGTATGTATATATACTTTCTCAGGTCATTCATTTTGTCAAAATAAAAAGGCATGGAATTTTTTCTTGTCTTAAGCCTTATTATCTGTTAACTATCATTATCCAGAGATGATGTGGCCTGAGTGGTCAACACAACAACAACAACAAAACTTAAATGGGCTTTGGAATAACAGAGTCGTGTATTTAAATTTTATTACTTTAACATATTAACTATGGCTTATTCCTAGTAATCTCCCCTTTTGGAATGTGTTTTTCTATTTGTAAAATGGAAATACAGTTCTTATTGGATGATATTATTCTTATAAGAATTAAATGAAGAGGCTAGAGAGTTGGCTCAGTGGTTAAGAGCACTGACTGCTCTTGCAGAGGACCGAGGTTTGATCCCCAGCACCCACATGGTGGCTACAAACCATCCTTAACTCCAGTTCCAGGGGAATCCAAAGCCCTCTTCTGACCTCCGCGGCATTGCATGACATGGGTGTACTCACATACATGTAGGCAATACACTCATACACATTAAAAAAAAAAAAGAATTAAATAGAAAAAAAAGTAAGTAAATGTCAGACTCTCAATAATAATAACCATCATTAACATCACTGTCTCTGTTCTAAAGGAGTGTTTTATGAGCTGTTTGTACTGTTTTGGTTAGGGTTGGTTTGGTTTTTGAGATAGACTCTCATACAGCTCAGGCTGGCTTCACCACCCTGTCTCTTTTGAGATTACAGATGTTCCCACCGCACCTAGCTTTGCACTTTCTTTTCATGCTGCTTTTTGGTTGCAAAGAAACCATATCTGACCCATTCAAACAAAAAAGGAACTAAAAAGATACAGAATCTGGAAATCAAGGAGTCTAAGACAAACCAAGCTTCAAGGGTGGATTTGGCCAGGAAGCAGGGACCAAGGTGGTTGGGTTGTCTCTGCCAACAGGTGCTAATGAACTATCTCAGACCATCTCCACTTGGGTAGATCAACTCTAGTTATTTGCTGTCCTTGAACCCACCACTTTGGATTCAGACCCCCAGGGTTCTATGCCTACACCATGGGTAGGCTAGGAACATAGCTACTTTGTGCATTTATTTGAGCTTTAAATAATGAAGAAGAGATAATTACCCAAAAGGTCCTATTGAAGTAGGTGAGCTTAAGAACAGCCCAGTGACCTGAGGCAACTCGCCTTGGAAAAATGAATCTACCTCTCTTCCTGGTAGAACAGCACCCAGCACCTTCCCTCCTGTGAGTAATTTGTGGCCAAACACTTCCTGGTAGAAGGGAAGATAAACAAGCATACTCAAACCAGTATTGGGCCCAAGCTCAGTGATGGGGAGTCCTGTGAAGGGTATACCCCTATTTGTTTCTCATGGAATATGCATGATGGGGCTTATATTTGCAGAGCCTACAAAGTTACATTCAAGGGATTAGGATCCATCTTATTCCTGCCCCTGGGGAGCAGTTCCTCCCTCAGCCTAAACTCATAAATCGCCCCCAAAGAACAAGTTTGCTCCTGAGTGCTCCTGTCCTGTGGAATGTATTCTACACTTTTATTCTCACTTTAGTAAATCTATACTTTCACTGCTACTCTGCCTCTTGCCTGATTTGTTGCTGCAGACATAATAACCTGGACAGTACATGGTAGGAAAAACCTCCTTCAATAACAATGTCACCAGTAAGCAGAAAAATTGATACAGTGAGGCAAGAAGCATGAATGTGCATTGCGCACAGAGAAAGGAGAGAAACCCAGGGACATGAGCAATAGAAGTATCATGAGTTAACATATGGGTATTTATTTTTCAAACTTAGATCCTGATTTTTAATGATGGGAAAGATAAACATTTCACTTCATTATCAGAGGCTACATGGTGACTAGATTTATAACCTAAAAACATAATATATTTTCTATGATCCCTTCTTGTTAGTGTTAATTATGGTGAACTACCAATTGTAAAGTTAGTTTGCCCCGTAATAAGTGGGATGTAGCTCAGAGCCAAAGTTCTAGGTGTTCTTGTTATTTATCTCCCATTTCTCATTAAACTGAGAAGCTAAACAGGCTAAGAATGGGGTTTTGCTTTTATTTCTGTTGACTTTGCCTTTGGCCATTTTTCAACACAAAGTCAAGATCTCATTATTTGATTGAAGTTGAACATGTATGAGCCATTACTAAGATCTTAATATGAATGTTTTTGACCTGCATGATCATGAGTGACTTTTATAACCAAGTTTCCTTTTTTAGTGAATGGAGTTTGTTATGGTCTTGCAGTTAGCTAGGTAGCATGATCATGATTCCTAAAGGACAACTAGATGGTGACAGATATCAGGAGTGCTGGAGGTGTTGGTCAGACCTCCTGAAACAATAAGTCATGAACTTGAGAAAGTTAAAATTGCTCATTTGCACTTTTCTCTTGTATATGTGATTTTCATCATAATTCACTGGACCTGGGAGAGCTGCAAATGGCATTGAAAATATTTTTTGTAGCCTCTGCCTTCCCACTTCTGCTAAGTCATGCATAAAAATGTGCCTTATTCTTATTGGGGCACAGGGAAGGATTCATTTCAGGTAGTCTAGGCAGATGAAGTTTATTTTTTGATAATGGCATTTCATCATTTAACAAAAAAGTGTTTGTGCTCTAGATGTCAAAAGATGGCTATTTTATTTTTACCATTTTGTATTGTTCTTCATCTACAGGTTCAACCTAATTTCCTTCCAGTGAAAGATTGGGTTTCCATGGTGCTTAATACTCTCCTGGTTATTGTGGATAGCCATCACCAACCTAGGGGACAATTCTTTTCCTGCTTTTATCATGTAAGTGCGAGACATAAAATGATCAAAATAGTCAAGGATTCACTTTCCAACCTTGACTGTTTACATGAGATCCATAAGATATATAGTGTAATTATTTCCGGTTCTGATTATGGATTAGAGGGGTAGGGGTGTGTGTGTGTGTGTGTGTGTGTGTGTGTGTGTCTAGAAAAACCTGCTGATAGACCCCTTTGATGTAACTGACTCACGATGTGCCCTGGGCACCTGCGTGATTTTCTCTGATGTATAGTCAGAGTCAAGGATGATAGTTCTATGATGAGTGGCCTCTTAGTATATTTAGACTTCTGTCCTTATTTATTTATTATTTATTTATGTATTTATTTATTTGCTCATTTATTTATTTATTTTTATTTTGCATCTTTTTGAGACAGGGTCTCCCTGTTGCCAGAGCTGGCCTGGATTCCCTAGGGAGACCAGACTGTCTCAAACTCATAGAGATCTGCCTGCCTCTGCCTCCTGAGTGTTGGGATTAACCATGCCTGGCATTTTGTCCTTATTTATAAAATGAGAGAAATGACACCCTCCTCTGTAGTGACAAGCCCTGAGTCAACCCTTTTCTGGTGTGTGACCATTTATATCCTTTTGCATTCCTTCTTTGTAAAACAAAAGCAAAAATGCTTTACTGACTTACTGAGATTATGAAGGTAAAATTATTTCAGTTATATAAAAGTGTGTTTTAACTGTATGTGGTGGCTCACCCCTTTAATCCCAACACTTAGGAGGCAGAGGCAGGTGGATCTCTGTGAGTTTGAGGCCAGCCTGGTCTACATAGTGAGTTCCAGAGCAACTGGAGCTACAGGGAGACCCTGTCTCAAAAAGACTGGAAAAAAAAAAAGTGTTTTGAAAACAGTAAAATTCTTTGTAAATACAAAGAATTTGCTCATGTAAAACCACCTGCCACCCCCTCTCCTTTGTGTCTTCATGCCAGTCCCCTTACACTTGAAGCAATATGAAAACAAACATTTTGTTTAATGCTCCCTTTTTGGGTTTAGAATCTGCTCTATTTTTGCAGTGTTGTGGATTATTTGGGTACTGTCCTGTCAGTATCCATTGCTTAGAGAATTATAGTGATTACAGGCAAATCAGCTGAGTGCTAGAGGATTACAGTTGATTTGAATTAAAATATAGCATAGATCCTGGACTGTTGCTAAGATCACAAATTTAGCCTAAAACCCATTGCCCTTGGTCTTCTATGTAAATTGCGTCTTCCTTTTTCTGTCCTTAGGAGAACCTGGTATGTATGGATCTGGGGCTTAGGGTTTGATGTTAGGTTTGAATCGTAGTTGTGGACAAAAATAACTTGTTAGGTAATGTTGAATTAAATTGCAAGATAAAGTTTACTGAGAGAAATAACTGGATGGGGTTGTTTAGATGTTTCTGCTGAGTCTTCTGCATTAACTATGGTTCAGATCTTCACTGTGAGAGTTCTAGTCGTTCTGTTTAGTCATTACAAATGATAAGAAAACCTCTTTACTATCCAGTTCAGCATTGCCTTTGTGAAATTTTTTTTTCTTTATAATATTTTCCTTTTTAAAGACACATTTCCAAAGTCACTTCCTTTATTTCCTGTGTGCTAGCAGCTGCGTTCTTTGAGTAACACTGTCATTTGAAAAGTGCTGCATTAGAGTATAATGTCCTTTGTCCGTGCTTGAGTCTTTTCTTTAAAGTACTAGAGCGTAGTGAGAGAATAGGTACAGAATTCAAGCACATTTTAGCTTTCTTTGACTGCCAGGGACAGCACACCTGTATAGTATCTCTGAAAAATGAAAATAGATTAATAACAAGGAATGATAACTAGGTTTTCTTCTATTTAAGACACATTTATACACATTAGAATGTCTGGTGGAGTTCTCTAACGTGGGATTCCTGTAGAAGCTGCTCATGCTCAGCTGCCTGTTGTTTTATTAGGACTGTTACTCATTTCTTTGCCCATTATTATGTATAGGAAGGAGCATGGATAGGCCTCTATTCCATTTTGAACAGCTTATTGTTTTGTCACCAGAGGCTTTTACTTTTAAATTTTCAGTTTCCTTTTTTTTTTTTTTTTTTTTTCTCTTTTCGAGACAGGGTCTCCCTGTAGCCCCAGCTGTCCTAGAACTCACTATGTAGACCAGGCTGGCCTTGAACTCACAGAGATCCGCCTGCCTCTGCCTCTGCTGGGATTAAAGGCGTGCGTCACCACGCCCAGCCTCAGCTTCCTTTTTAATTAAAAGGAATTAACCCCCTGTAGGAAATAATCCATCTACTGGGTTGTGTTCCCAACAAAAATTTTGGGAGCTGTGCCTACAGAGCCTTATACTGAATGTCTATTTGTTTTTCTGTAGTAAACTTATACTCTTGTCCCCCTTTTTGTTTCTTATCTAGAAAAGTCTTAGCTTTCTGGACATTTATAGTGTGACTTGGTGGCTTGCCTAACTTCAGATAGCTTCGTTTTTGTTTTTTATGTATATACTTGAGGGTTTTATGAAATTGAAATTATTTCAGTTTTGTACTGAATCTGCAACCTCCAAACATAGACATTTATAATTTTCCCTTTTAAATTTAAAGTGACATTACTGATTATTTAGTAGTAGTAGTAGTTGTCTCATTGAGTGAAAACAGAATCTATCACAAACACATTTTAATTCGTTTTGTCTTTAGGACAAACCTAAGAGAAACTTGTGTTGTGTGGCACTCTCTGTGGTAGGTATGTGTCCTTCATGTTTTAAACAAAAGACTAATCTCATTTTGCTTTGGCATGTCCTAGAAATCCTACTCTGGTGAAAACACAGCGAGTGCCATTGCCCGGTCTGCCGCCGCCACAGCCTTGTCTCTCCTTGTGCCAGTTTCCATTATCTCTTGCAAAGAGAAGGTTGAGGAAATCCTGAATATGCTGACTATCAGGTTACCTGGGAAACCAAGTGCTGATGAATCTCAAGCTGTGCAAATCCATATGGGCCTTGCTTTGGGGATGTTTCTCTCTCGCTTGTGTGAAGAGAAACTCAGGTATGGCTTATTAAAGTATCCCCACTGTTCTTTTTTGAAATATAGGTAAAAGGCTTTGTGCCCTTGCATACAGACACCTAAATATTGCATTTGAGCAATATGTGGTTGCTAAACTTTCTGAGATGGCAAGTTGAATCTGTTTTATGGGTGAATTTGGCTGCCCAAAATACCATCACATAGATACTAATGTGTTTTGATTTTGTTTTTGATGTTTTTGAGACAGTGTCTCTCTGTAGCCCCAGCTGGCCTAGAACTTGCTATGTAGACCAGACTGGCCTTGATCTCACAGAGATCCACCAGCCTCTGCCTCCCAAGTTCCACACATGTATACTTAGTCCTCATTCCTAGGTATTCCTCCCCGCCCCCATCACTCATTATCCAGAAATTCCTGGACGAGGATACCAGGAAGCTCTTATTTATCATGACTGACTCACCCTCCAAATACTTACAGATTTTAGCTTTGCCCAGGCATTCTTCTTATTCTTGAATCACGCGTGTTAATATTGTAGTCACCAGTATATGCATTGCCCTCCTATTGCCCCCCTTTTTTTTTTTTTTGAGTAGAAGAATCACAAATATTTGTGCTTTTTGTAACAATAAATATTTTACTAGGTAATTACAATGTCAGCAGATAATGCCATTTTTGAATTTTTTTCCCCTAAAATAAAGGTAAAAGGCTAGAGTTGGCTTACTGGTTAAGAGTGCTTGCTGCTCTTACAGAGGTACTGAGTTTGGTTCTTAGCACCCACATCAGGCTTAAAACTGCCTGTAACTACAGCTCTGGGGGATCTAACACCATCTTCTGGCCTCTGTGCATACACACATGCACACACGCAGACACAGACATAGACACACACACTCACACACACACACACACACACACACAAACACACACACACACTTAAAAATAAAATAAATCTTTAAAAAAAATAAAGGTAGGGTCATGAGGATTATTGACTTGAAGCAGGCAATAATATGAAGTAACAGACCCCCTCTTAAAGAGAACAGTCGGGCAACACATTGTTCTCAGAGAGTGAAAAATCACCTTATTGAAGAGAATTTACCCAGTCTGGTTCATATTTTTTCCTAAATTTGAATTCCAGTCCAGGATTTATCCAGAAAGATGTATTATGCCAAACTTCTTTCTTCTATCATAATCACTAGAGGATAAAATAGGATCTCATTACCATTTCTAGAGGATATTTAAGTATACTTTATTCCAAAGAATAACTCTAATATCCTCCCTCCCTCCCTCCTTTGCTTACTCACTTGCCAAAATATAATCTACATTGCGGAGTGTTGTGTAGTGTTGGTTTGGAAGCTGTTATTAAAGTGCTCCCTGGCTGAGTGGCATTTTTCGGCTATATTCCTGTCCGGCATGATGTGAAGAAGTATCAGGGACCTGAGCTGTGGGAGCCTTGGGTAATAAAGTGTAAGTGATAAAGCCACAGCATTGCCTGAGACAGCCAGGGAGCTCCTTTCTGAGTTTTGCTTTACTTCAAGATTTATTTCTCATGAAGACAATTATAAAAAAAAAAAACAAGATAAAAAATAAACAATTTTTGTATAAAAGCAGAGAAATGTAGGGCTAGGGAATATCTGCCTTTACAAATTATCTGTAAGCAAGGGACTAGGACTCACTTATAACCTGTACAACTGAGACATGAAATCAGAACTGCCAGCCTTCACAAGAGATTTGAAATGACTGGTAACCATATCAATAACTTACTAAATTGCCTATAAAATATCACTTTCATATTCTTAGAAATATTTGGAATTTTGATTTTGATTTTTGTTCTTCAGTGATTAAAATTTTGAATATAAGGAGAAAAACTAAAAGAAGACTTAAGGGCCTATTGTTTGTAGGTGGTTACACTCTTTGGAAACTTAAGTATTGTATAATTTCCTGACTTAGTTCCTCTGTCTACAAAATAAGCACATGTGAATCACCAATATTGTTACTAATTTTTATATACATAAGGAAATGTTGAGATTTTCAGTAGAATTTTGATAGCAACATACTTTATATGAAACTTTTTGGGTTATTTATTTATTTAGTTAGTTAGTTGGGGAACATGCCTGCCATGGTGTACATGTGAAAGCCAGAGGACAACTTGTGGAAATCAGTTCTCTCCTTCCACAATGTAGGTTCTGGGAATCAAATTGAGGTCATCAGTCTTGGCATCAAGCACCCTTACCTAGTGAGCTATCTCCCCATCCCAAATGCTTTTTGTTTGTTTGTTTTGTAGTACTAGGGACCAAACCTAGAGTCTTGTGCATGCTAGATAAGCACTCTATCATGCTACACACTCTCAGCTATATGAAATACATTGAATAATTGATTTTTACTAACTCTCTGCCCCTTTTCATCATCTAGTGATATGTCTGGCCACCAGATGAACCTTCTTCTAATGAAGTCTTTGGATGCCCTGGAGAACTGCTGTTTTGACACTAGTCTTGAATACAAGTATGTTTCTATCTCCTAACAGATGCTTAGAAATTGTTTGCTACTCTGCCATAAGTCTTACAAGCTCTAGTGAGATATTTGATCTGGGCCTACTTTACAAAGATTGTTCGAGAATAGTTTCAAAGAATTGATTTAAACCTTACTTGCTTTCAAATCATGTCTTATCAGTATACAATTTGTTTAAATTAAAAGTAGTACATGTCATTTTGTGGTTCAGTCTTCCCATTGCTAAGACTTTAGTTTTTTTCTTGGACTTATCCTATGAGGCAGCCTTCTTTCCAGAGTAGCTGAAATCATTTGAATTTGATTGGGCAAAGAAAGCCTTTGATGATTTGAATTATCATTGGCTGAGGAATCAAAGGAGAAACCAACACTTGTTCAGTCAGTGGCTCCCAATCTGTTTAACATTAATGGGTTGTTTTCCCCACATGGCCCTCATGAGTTGTTTTTCAGTTTTTAAAAATTTTTGTCTTTAAAACTAAATACCTGAAATTAATTTTTTTCTAATATTATAACAAAAATGAAAAAGAAGTAATTACAAAAGATGAAAAGAGTTGAGCATACTCATTTAGTTATGCATATAAGTTTTAATTAATTTGTCTGGCTTATCTAGGTGAAAAATGAGGTTTAATCAGGTTCTGTGGCATGTGGCCATCATTGAAGTTGTAAGTTCTATCTTTTCGGATTCGTATGTTTTGGAATCTCAGGTTTGAATTCTCTTGGGGTTCATTGTTTCTAGAAAACACAGCAGATTGGAAATAATAATTTACCTTTTGCTATTATGCATCTATATCATCTAGCCTATTAGATTCAGACTAAGAAGAATAAATAAGAGAGTGAAGTAGCTTTGTAAAGGAAAGCTATATGAAGGATTTTACCATGTGTAAATATAGTCAAACATCTCTTTAGTAGGTGGCAGTTGGGAGTCTGTATGCAGAGTAAGGCAATAGAAACCGCTGACATTTTACCAAGAAACTCTTCAGGGATTGAGTAGAATCTGAAGAGTATGGTGTGAATTTGGGAAAAGAGTTTGATGGCATGGTTGAAGTCTTCTGAATATAAAGAATGATTCATGGGAGAGATAGGGACATGTAGTTATTATTTGGGTCAAAGGAATGATTAGATTGATTAGATTTTGAGTCTAATCCATGCTTAGCTATTGTTGCTTTTTATAGCCGAGAAAGGACCAAGATCCCCTGCCTCTCAGTCTCTCCTTTCTACCTCTCCATAGCTGTAGCTATGGTATTAGAAAGTTGTAGAAATGCTTACAGCTAAAATTCAGCAAGCTTTTAGCCAACTGAAACAGTCCAGAATGGCTCCTATTGTTCTCATTAATTTTCTGGGAAGTTTTATTTTCTGGCCAACTGGGGGTTTGCTGAGTCATCCATAGTAGAAGAGTTTATGTACTTAAAAAATTCACCAGGGAGCCTGGAGAGATGACTCAGTGGTTAAGAGCACTGACTGCTCTTGCAGAGGACCTAGGTTTGATTCCCAGCACCCACATGGTGGCTACAAACCATCCTTAACTCCAGTTCCAGAGGAATCCGAAGCCCTCTTCTGACTGTTGCGGTATTTCACGACATGGGTGCACTCACATATATGCAGGCAATACATGCATACACATTAAAAACAAAAAACACCAGGAACTAATGCTTCAGAGGAGAGTAGAATAGACACAGAAGTGCCCTGTTCTGTGTGCAAAGGTGCTTGTCTGTTAGAGCCCAGTGAAAGGGGGAAGCCTTAAGATGCCTTCTTCTATTCCATCCAGACCACTGTTATTCCCAGGGTTAGTGCAGTTCAGTTTTTCTCATTCCTTAGGTTTGGTGGGTGTCAATCCTAGCAATATGGTTCTGTCTTGGTCTCAGGTTTGTCATGTTTTTTTGAGAACCTGTGTATTGCACTACCCATTTCCATATCTGTGACTCATGTAGCTAAGTCCTTATCACCACCAAAACATGATGCTAGAGCAGGGATCTTCATTGGCTTTCTGTACAGATAAAAGAAAGCGAGTTTCTGAGCTGAGGACATTTCAAGGTCATGTACTTTTCATAAGTGGCAGAACTCAGAAACAAGCCCAAGACACCTGATGTCAAAGCCATTTTATTTCTTTTGCGTCATACATCATGAAGAACACATTTCGGTAGGAAGAAAATGATTTGACACTTCACAGTATGCTATTTTTTTTTTCATGCAAGTGTTGCTAACCATTTAAAAAGAATAATTTTTTTTTCTGCTTTTCTAACTTGGCCTAGGCCTGAATGCCTGTCATGTGTCTAATGAAATTGTAGGAGCCTGGAGCAATCCTCCCTTCAATGAAATAGTGGGAGCATTAGGAGGAGGTGGTTAACAGATCTGGAGCTTGCTAAGTCAAGTGATAACATTCACCCAGAGCCAAAGCACCATGCTTCCCTGATATAATGGATACATGAATGAGTACCTTAGCTGGCCATATGTGATCACCTATCATTTGCTGCCACCTAGTGGTCATTTGCTTGCCATTGCTGTTCTCACAGCCTGACTGGTCATGCGATCCATCAATGATATGAGTTTTGGTTAATTAATATTTGAGCTTTAAAAATACAGTAACATTTGTATTGCATTTTGTAAAGGCAAAGTGCTATACAAATGTTAGCTGTTATTAGAGCTAATTGTTATATGACTTGTTCTTAATCTGCAGAATTGCCAACAATAATCTAGGGAATTCAAGATTCATCTGCAATTTAGAGTTATCGTTATAGCTCAGCTGATATGACAACACAAATATAATAATTGCAGACTTTTTAGGATTTCTTCTGCTGGTGATATTTTAATAAACTTTGACAAGAGATTTAAACAAGTAATGACATGATAGTATGTTGTAGAATTCCTGTGTATGGGTGTTGGTGTTGTATGTGAGAGAGATTGAGAGAGAGAGAGAGAGAGAGAGAGAGAGAGAGAGAGAGAGAATATGTTACACACTCATGCCTGCAGAGGTCAGAGGAGGAAGCTGAGCCTCTTCCTTATTGCTGTCCATCTCACTTTGTGAGATAGGGGCTCACTGAACCTGAAGCTCACTGTTTTGGTGAAGGTAGCTGGCCAGCAAGCTCCTAAGATCCCCTAGTGTCTGTCCCCCAGTGCTGAGGTTGCAAATACACATGGCTATGTCTGGCTTTTGTATGGGTGCTGAGGGGTTTGAACTCAGGTCCTCTTACTTTCACAACAAACACTTTTACCCATTGAGCCATCTCTCCAGCCCATATATGGAATTTTAAAATTCAAATTCTTTTTATAGCTGAGCATGGTGGTTCACACCTTTAATCCCAGCACTTGGGAGGCAGAGGCAGGTGGATCTGTGTGAGTTCAAGGCCAGCCTGGTCTGCGTAGTGAGTTCCAGGACAGCTGGGGCCTCAGGGAGACCCTGTCTCAAAAAAACCAAAAAAATTCTTTTTATAATTTTTAGTATCCTTTAAGAATATTTATGCTAGCAATTCCAAATTATCAATTTTTTATCTAATGTTATACTTTGTTGTTATTTTACCTTTTAGAGGCACCAACACTTAACTCCTTTTTGTTTTTGATGGACAGAAAGATGTGAAAGCCACCTCTACCCAAATGATTTGTGGTTTAACACTGGTAGACATATCCAAAAGAACTCATGGACAGAAATGGTGAACTTATCATTTGGGGCAATTTTTAAGACTTAGGACAAAAGTATACACATCAAAATGTAGAAGATTTGGAAATGACAAGTCATGAAGCTTTAGGTACATTGGATATGCTGAAGAGCTGATTAAAAAAAATTTAGGTTTGTTGATTATCTGATGAGTAGATAATGAAAATGTGGTTCATTTGTATGATGGGGTTTTACTCAGCAGTAAAGAAAGATGAAATCATGAAATTTGCAGGTAAATGGATGGAACTAGAAACTGTTATACTAAGTGAAGTAACACAATCTCAGAAAAAAAATCGACATATGTTCTCCCTCATATGTGGATCCTAGAACTGAACCCTGATAAGTGAGTATGTATCCAGACATAACTACAGGAGCCAGGATAATGGAAAGGAACCAGGGAGGTAAAGGAAAGAAAGAACCTGAAAGAGAAGAACAGGAGAAAATGGGCCTTAATAAGGGAGATATGGATAAAAACTGGGTTAGTTTCAAGGGAGGGGGGGAGGGAAGGGTATACAAGGAACCTAGGGGATAAAGGGAAAGAAGGAGCTCAAGAGAGGTAGGACCGTAGGAGAAGGGCATTATTAAGGGAGAAAGGGGGGAAATGGGGGCACCTTAAGTGGGAAAACCATGATGAAGGGATGAGACAATGCGAGAGATAAATACCAGAGGGAACCATATTAGTCCAACAACCGACTGACAAATTATACATA